GTATAAAGGCGTTATGAGCTTTGCTTCAAACGTGCATATTGATGGTAAATTCAGGTTTTAGAACGCCTCGCTGGTCTCCGGCAAGGCGTTAAGAGCTTAAACTGCAGAAATTTAAACTCTACATACACCCTAAGCATGCATGAATTTTGATGAAAATGACACCACTTAACCACCACTGAATCGGAGAAGCACGGCAAAAGGTATTCTGGGCTACCCTACTGTGTGCAGCGACATTTAACGAAAAAGATGGCAGAGTTGGACGGAATATAACTGTTTATAAGATATGCGCATTGGAGATCAACGATCACCACAGTAAGGGTGAAACGAAGTGTACTCCCCTGTTATCGTAGTTGCAATTTGTATTTTCTTGTATGAAAGGAAAAACGCTGGCATCAATATACAAACTCTACATTACTTTTATTCAGAGCTCAACAATTGTTGTGCATGTGATACACGAGAAACTGCGTGCTATATTGACCAGTGAGCGAGGCTAATGCAGTCAAAGTAGCAATTTTCTGGCCATTTTATTAAGCATTGATATGGATTCTAAGGTGATGGTTTGTGTCTGAAATAAGAAGACTTGGATGCACCTCACCATCACAATAACAGTGAGGCGCATTCTGATTCCGTGTTCCTATAAATGACCCATCTGACTACTGCTCAAGGAAATTAGTTTCGCAATATTGTGTTTCGCAATGCGCTTTTATTTTTGAAAGATTTTAGAGGTTGTGACACCGTGCCATTGAAGGCATTATTCCAGAAAGGCCCGCCAATTTTGGCTCATGACCCGACCCAAAGCCCGCTGGTCTTTGCCGGGTCAGATGTGGTGGGTTTGCGGGTTGAAAAGGTTGCGTCTGTAATCGGGATCCATGTTGCGAAACTGCAAATCCGCACATTTTCAGCATACATTAACTCTACCATGATTTGTATTCGACCCACAGTTAAGGTGCCCCGGTTGAACTGTATAGTATGAGTAAGTGAATACATTGTTAATCCGACACTACAAACGTAGCGAATCGTTTCGAGAGGCGCAAAATGGTCTCCATGTTACCGAGCTCTTGAACAGCAAATATCACCAGCCTTATTGGTTAAATCAGCGGGCTCGATTTCATGAACTTTTCTCGAGAACGAGGAAACCGGAGTATAGGGTATTATTTCATCTCATTCGATTCCAAACAGGCTCATGCCAATGACCCCTGAAAGTATTTTGTCAACATTGCAAAACGACCCCTATTGTTCGGTCAGTGTTTATCAGCAGCTGCATTTCGTTGCCCCCACTTCTTCGCCTTGTTACTTCTTCGTTGCGAAGACAAACAATGGAGAACGTTATCCGCATGCACGGCAAAAGTGACTTTTAGTAAAGAATGCATGCCTTGGATCAGACGCAGTGGCTAGTTTCATTTGGCTAATTTATTATTTGTAATGAATAAAAAGATTAGCCGCAATTTTTTACTCTGCTCGATAATCTGACTCGAGGAACAGTTTAACAGAATAGTTGTGAGATGGTGCGGAACTAGGACTGCGGTAGAACACACAGAATGGATTTATTAATGTTTGCCACCTAAAAAATGTACCCCGATAGCACTCGCCTTTTTCGATGTTTACACACAGCTTCTGTCGCACTAGACCATGCTGCTTAAACACACGAATTAAGTGTTGCACTAGATTCCATGCGATTTCGCAGGAATCCGCTCCGAAAGCGCAATTCTCAAAAACAAAATCAGAGGACAAAGCTCTGGAAAGGCAAAGGAGACAAAGTTCTGGTTACGCACCTGGATTAAAGAAAGCATTTCACCTTTTGATGGGGTTTTGAACTAAAATAACCATCTCGAAGACTTTTTAATGCTGTTCACAACCCTGCCCTTCTTAAAATCAATACCCCTCTAGTTTCTGAGCTAAATGTCCGCAAAGATGTGCAGACTTTTTCTGCGAATTCAGTTACCTAGCCATTCATGACGTCACGACATCGCCATTCAAATTCTGCGATTTCATTGCCCATGCGGCGACCAGGATGAAAAAATATAATTGTCGAATCGTTTATATCCGACGTTCGTCAGCATGATTTCTAGATATAACAGCCGTCAATTGGCTCTCAATCCATATTGTACAAGGTACGATGTCGTAATCAAACCACGACATTTTGAAGAGCATTTTTGCTAAGCAGAGAAATTGGCCGTCTAGAGCATCCTTTTCTACCTAGGTGTACACAAATAGTTACAAGTGAGTTTTTTCATCATACTTGATGCTTTTTCAATATGTTCAACTGTGGAACATTCCATTTCACTGAGATTCAATTCAAATTGTTAAGACTCAAGTCAATGTAGCGTCGCACCCTTCGTGCAGCGAGATAAACGGCAACCTCCTGTGAGCTCAAACACTGGACAATCCCCCCCCCCCCCAACCCTCCAACTTTTCCGTTCAAATTTTTCTTGATGCAGGGCTATTTGCAATGGTGAGAAGTTCACGACTGCCATGCAAACAAGCAAGCAAAATGCGAGGTAAGAAAACTAGCAAACGAGGTGGATTCGGATTTGCTTTCACATGCGTGACTGCGATTGTTCGCAGGTTGCACTCGTCCACTCATTAGGTCTGAATCAAATCGTCGTGATGAGTTAAAATGTCAACAAATTGGTTAAAATAAGAGCAAGCTCTCCCCCTGGGCCTTCACAATGTCCCACAGTTAAGTGAATCATCAGTTTGCTGTTATGACGGTCTTGGGAAGGATGACAGTAAGACCTCCGCTTCGAGTTCCGTTAGTGCCTGGTGATTATCCGACCCTCACGGAATGCCTGTAACCGGAGACGAGCAAGACCTCATTGCTAAATGCTCTGGTCAGGCGCGCCTTGATGGCGCCGAATGCGCCTGGGACATTTTGGCACGTTATAAGATGACGTCATACAATTGAGAATCATTAACAGGTGATTATCAGGCCATTTCTTAAATGTTGAACAGGTGGAGTGAACCTGACCTAGTGCGTGAGGTATTGCTGTATCTCATTGTTGCTCATGATGGCTGGTTGCACCAGAATTGTCGAACATTTCTCTTCGACGTGCTCAGCATCGAT